GAGTCGGGGCTCATTGGCCGGAGCCTGCAGCAGGGTCTTGGGACGGGTCCGTGTGGCTTGCAGGGATTTCACTTTCGTCACCGAGGCTTTTCATTTCTGTTTAACCAAGTGACTCATTGGCGTGTGTCTCCCCTTTCCGAAACTCAGCGCCGCGGTGCTGGGCTGCTGCGGGCTTTTCCCACCCCAGGAAGATTCTGGTCACTGTTCCCCGGTGGGTCGCTTCCTGGGCACGACCCCCCTGTGTCGGGTTAGAGCTGGAATCGCCTCATCTTGTGGCTTCCAGGACCGGCTGCTCCAGTTCTGCTTTAATGCTGCACCCTGTCCGGAGGTGAGGTGCCCAAACTCAGCGCCGCGGTGCTGGGCTGCTGCGGGCTTTTCCCACCCCAGGAAGATTCTGGTCACTGTTCCCCGGTGGGTCGCTTCCTGGGCACGACCCCCCTGTGTCGGGTTAGAGCTGGAATCGCCTCATCTTGTGGCTTCCAGGACCGGCTGCTCCAGTTCTGCTTTAATGCTGCACCCTGTCCGGAGGTGAGGTGCCCCCAGTCAGCACGGGGCAGAGGAACCCCCTTCTGACTGTCTGTTAAACGCTTGGAACCTCCACTCCCCCCAGCCTGTTCCCCGTCCGTGTGGCTGCCTGTAGGTGCCTGGAACCGCAGGGGTGACTATGACCAGAAACTTGCCCGCTGCCTTTCATGGTCGCTGGCGCCGGCCTGGCCGGGGCGGAATCTATCCCTGGTGCTGTGTTCTTCCTGGAGCTCTCGGCGGCAGTTTGGCTCCCTGGAGATTTTTGCCTCCTATGACCCCGCGCACAGGCATCCCTCCGTGCCCCCGGCAGCCCCCCCGCGGCGACGGAGCTAAGGGCGGGCTCTCTTCTAGGTGGTTTACGCCCTGTTCATGAGCAGCGAGAACATGAGCGGGTGGCCCCAGGTGGTGTCTGACGATGTTGTGAAACAAGCCCAGAGGCTGAAAAACGAAATGTTTGTGATGGGAGGGAAGATCAAAGGGAAGACGCTGCTGCCCCTGCCTGAGCACCTGGAGACCCTGGGCAGCTCCACCGACCTCCTGGACAGGTGAGTGCTCCAGCAGGTTCCAGGAGAGGGGACCGGCTCTGTGCCCCCCCCGGGCAGCGGGGAAGCGCGTGCTGCACCGTTCAGAGGGCAGGCGGCAGGGCTCTGGAGACCCCTGCCCTCCGGGAGGGTGGGCGGCTCTGGAGAAGGGGCCCCTGGGGGCATGGCTAGGGCTGAGCTAGGGGACTCGGAGGGGTGGGAGCCGTCTCACCGGGGCACTGTGCTCCTTGCAGGCTCCTGGGGGCAGTGGACAGCTCCCTCCTGCACTCCATCGAGACGATCATCATCGACTGGTCCCACCAGATCCGGGACGTGCTGAGCAAAGAGTCTGCCCAGCCCCTGCTGGACGGG